TGAAGGGAGACACTTTTAAGGAAATCAAAACAAGGCGCATAGTTATGGGCAAATTGTTGTTGTCATACATGTTCGGGGCGATTTAATGAGGGCGTATTGTTGACATTCCGCATTTACGGGCGAAATTATAAAAGTGTCGAGTTTTCAAGAGAAAATTAATAAAAAAGGGGATTTTAAACATACACAAATACGAATGGATTAATTTTATATTCATACATTTAATTCAATTGGAAAAAAAAATTGAAGGTTAAATTAAAAATTAAATAAATAAGTGCAAACTTGCTAGGTTTTTCTCAATTTGTTTACATTTTGCTAGTTTCCCCTTATCACAATTTGCTCCAGATATTAGCTGTTTGCTTGCTCTCAACTTAGTGTTTATGAAGCGCTTCCACATTTTAATTATTGAGAGCTTCCTATGCCTATACAACCCTATAACCCAAGGAGGTCGAGAAATTTTCCATCCCGAAAAGTCAATAGACCGGACGGGAATCGAACCCAGCTTCCAGCGTAGACTTGCTTCGTAGCAGCACCTTTACCGACTGAGCAACGGGAGTATCGTTTGTACCCTTTGAAAAAAGAATAAAAATAATAATGTATAATCTTCTGTTATTTATTTTCTTGGTAGAATAAATTCTGACTATTTAGTTAACATTATAAAACACATTATGAAATTCTGAAACATTATTTTAAAACATTTATGCATTTTCGAAATCAACTTGAAATCGATTAACATCCAACGAACGAATTACCATGCAATACATTTAATTTTTTTTCATTTTTAAGAAAAAAATACTGAAAATAATTAATCTTAGGTGTATTTTAAAAGAGTTTTTTTATGGTAATTCCAACGAAAATTCCAAGAAAATTTAATTCTGAATCCAAAGAATAGTTCTAACAAAATTTAGATGCAAATTTTGTAAGGAATTCTGAAGAGTATTACAAGGATATTCCGGTGATAATTTTTAGAAAAATTTAAAGAGATTTCCAAGGAAATTAAGAGGAACATTTATATGGGAATTCTGAGCAGAACGAATGATACATTCTTATGGTAATTCCGTGGGGATTTCAGGTGAATACTAACTGCATTGCTGAGGAGAACTTCAAGTGATTTTTTCAGGAGTATTTTTCAGGGAGTTGCTAGAATTATTAATAATATAAGGAAAACTGCAGAGTGAATCCAGAGTGTTCTGCAGAAAATTTTCAAGCATGTTATGGAGGAAATTATAAAAGAATTCTATTTTTCCGCAATTGAACACAAAAAAAAAATCAAGTTTTGGGAAAAAATGGAAATCCTAAGGCTTAGATTTTTAAAGGTTTCATGCTTAGAAAATTATATGATCCTGGATTTAGAAAAAAAAATATTCATGGTTTGAAATAAAATATTCCAAACGTAGGGGGATTATGAAGAAGATTTCAAGTTCCAAAACTATCAACAATATTGGAAACGCCGAACTTTGAAATTTAAGGTTGCGAACTTGAAATTAATGGGGGCGACCCCGGCGTTGAGGTTAACATCCATACCTCTCACGCCTTCGAAATCTCAACCCCGAACAAGTCTCAAATGACCCAACTTGAAATTAATCAAATGGCTGAGACTTCATTCTTCTAATTCTGGGATTATGGTACTGTCAAAAGTTTCTTGATCTTATGGTGAACAATTATTAATTCGGATTCGGATATTAATCGGATTAATTATTTCCGATTAGCAATTTTCCCTTTTTCACGATGTTTGCCCGTAATGTTGAAAAAAATTCCGTTTGTGCGATACACATTAAAATTAAGCATAAAACTGAAAGCCAAAAGAATCACTAGGGTAAAAGGGTCATTACTAAGCCAGCAGCATTTTTCCTGGGATGAACTTCCCGGAAAATTTAATTGATAATCTTTACAGAATTTTATTAGAATATTCTCAAACATTTCCTTTTCCATGTTTTCCCAGTGTTTATTCAGAAGTCTTCTAAAATAAAATTCTCTCTGAGATTCCATAAACAAATTATTTATAACAATCTAGAAATTTTCTGCAGATCCATAAAAAAACATGAAATTTATCTTCAGATTTTCTTCGAATTTTTAAGATTTTTCTGGGAATTCGCTGAAAATTGCTGCTATATAGTAATTCTATTAAAATTCGTTGTAATTCTCTCTTGAATTGTATGATGCATGCATGATGATGATAGTGTTTTACGACCTATTGTAGCCGGAAACTAAGTCCGAGAGCAGTGGGCTCTCTTCTCTGTTTGTCTTGATCAAGCTTAATAACCTCTGATTGTCCTCAACATGTCGCTGTATGAAAGGCCAAAAACGGATTGGGTGGATCGATAGGCATATACGCATCTACGGGACAATACAGAATCTCCTTCCAGCAACAGGATCGCACAATTGGTCAAAAAGACGAGCCCCCAAACAGGAAGATGGCCAATGAGTGGGTAGAAGATCCCGCCCTTTATCCACGAAATATTTTCAACAGAGAGTTGGCATTCCCACTCTCCCCGTCCAAATTGCTTCAATTGGGTGCCCTGATGGTCCCTCCCAATCCCAGCATTGTTTGTTAAGTGGTGCATAATGAAATATGAATGTTGTATGAGAAATAATGGTTTTAAATGTCTTTTGAATTCCCGAAAAAAAAAATCACCTCAGAATTGTCTTGGACTTCTCCTCTACATTCTTATGTAATTTTGAGTAGAAGTTTCCTTAAAATTTTCTAGAAATTCATTTCGTGATGCCTTTGGAATTGTCCTCGGAATTTTCGTTAAATAATCATTAGAATTTCTTTGGAATTGTATTCTAAAAATTCGATTTACTTGGTATTTAAAACGGATCCTGGGATCATCTTCACAATTGATTTCAGGATGGCCAGTAAATTTTCATTTTGAAATTCCCGGTTTTCCCGGTTCAAATCGTTAAAAAATCCCGGTTGTTAATATTAAACAACAACAAAACGAAATTGAACGCAATTTTAGGAACTTGTAATTTACTGAAAGGATAAAAAATGTGATTTCATTTTCATTTTCATTTTGCAGCGCAGGGTGGGGCAGTAAGAGCGCAAGTCAATCCAAGGCCGATAGTAAAGGAGGGATAATGGCTGACTCGCCACATGCAGGCTACATGATCGCCATGGGAAGGGATAATGATTAGATTGAGGTAGGTAGTTTGAAATTTGAATGAGTTATTTAGAATTCGTTACTGAGAGTTCTAGACTAACATTTGAAAAGGGCGTAATTCCAAAATGACCATATCGAGAAAATCGCTTCTGAATTTTGATGACCTAAAAATTAATCCTATTTCACGACTTTCCATTTTCTGGATGATTTTATAAGCTTAACATATAAATAGTTAATAGTGTAACATTTGGCATATTAAAACCATATAATTCGTAGTTCTGGGGCAAGGCGTAACAACCAGATTTATCATAGATTTGAAAGTTGGAAATACGCCATGTAAGAAGAAACGTTTTTGATAATTTGAATGATATTTTCTTCTACTTTTTCGTATTTATCGAGTAGTTTGTGAACTATTCTCTCTATATGTGGCAAAATATGGTTTGTTTACATTTTGGCTCTTCCGCCCCTTTCAAATGTTAGTCTAGACACCTTCAAGTGACTAAAATGCTTCATTTTGAAGTTAGTTTCCTAGCTGATTTTAAATTATATAGGGTATATGCTCCAGTTACGCTCAAACGTTTCCACTATGTCGTCCCACAAAATTACGTATGGATATATCACAATAGAAGCACGCCACAGTGGAAATCCCGAGCCATAGTTCAAACATTTATCCCAAATCAAAATGAAGCACATATAAGATTAGTTACAATACCATGTACAAAAATGATGTTTAACATTGTTCCCTGAGTAATACTTCAATGAAAACAACAATGAAAGCTTGTCACGCAAGTAGAAGGAGCACCGTTGTGCACTTTCTGATATATTTCAATAGTATAATTCCCTTGCAAACCCAAATAAATCTATCTGCGTAAAAATAAATAAAATAAGAGTGATTTGCGGAAAAACCCGCCAGTATCACACCCAACGTCAGTACCTATACGTAAGCGTACTACGGCTCTCAATCAAAGGAGTAACAAGTGTGATACTTAATGTGGCTCGAACGCATCTGATTGGACATTTTTCGATACTACAGACATTATTGCAGTCCTGGTTGATATAGTAGAACAAATCAACTGAACTCCAGGACGATCTAGAGAACCTAGAATATCCGGTATACATGGTAATTACTCGCATATATACGATTCATTTATGATTTGATAACAAAAAATGTTTTGTTCATATTCGAAATAAAAAAAAATGATGTCTCACATTGTACAGATCCCAGGGAATTTCCGTGTAAATCCGGTGTGACTTATGGAATTGAGATCATTATTCACGATTATTTGCAGGGTGTTTTGTTTGAACCGGGAAAAAATTGAGAACCAAATGAACAACAAAATTGATGACAGCATAATAATCCGGGACGGAAAGGTTACAATGAATTCTACAATTTCCTGACCGAAAGTTCAAATCCGCGAAGATCGCGAAATCCGCACCGCACCTGTTGTAACAGTCCTGGACTTGGTTCCATATTGTAGCCCCTGGACTTAATAATTTACTTTGACAGCATCGAAGCGCCCCTCGTGCGCAAACCGAAGCGCGAAAGAGAAAAACACGAAGAACAAGACAAGAGACGCAAATAAAATCTACATCATGATGGTGGCCTACTAAAAAATATGTGATGAACTTCATTGCTGAAAGTTAATGCAAAATCAATATCAAGCAACTAGCTTACTAAAGAAATCAAATTTAAATTTCATTTTGTGTAAATTATTCAGCAACAGGAGTGTAGGAAACATGAAAAATCCTTCCAGTAATTGTCTGCTGTCCTCCGTGATGAGAATCGAAAAAAGAAAAAAACACCCAGTCACTTCTCACTTGCACCAATACCACCGCAACAAGAATGGTGAGCTTTGACACCCGGAGAAAAAAGTTTTGGCGTTTTTTTTTTGTACTTACCACACACGCACACCCAACGAAAACAGCCGAATGAACCGCTGCTGCTCACACCAATACAACTTCAACAACGGCTGTGATCTGATGGTCTTTTTTTCCTTCAATGCCTGCTGCTAACACGTCTCCTTTCACACACGGCGAAAATCGTTTTCCCGTCGCTTCTTTACGGTTGAAAATTTCGATTTTTCTACTCCGTCAACTCAAGCACCTTCCCAAGAAAACCGCATCAAACCACTCACACTGGGATTTCACGGCAAATTATGCAAGGAAATGCGTTTTTCACTGTACTCCACGAAAAGGGCTTTTCACTTCCGTAGCTTCAAAACTTCCAAACGAAGAGGTTCTTCTGGTGGCTGCTTTCGTCAGAAATTTCCTTCCCTCCGCACAACACCTCCTTGAAGGCTCCGAAAAGCGATAGATTACAACTTCTTTCCCTTTTTTCACTACATCGAGCGACGGACGGACCGAAAAAAAAAATCAACCGTGAGCTGACGACGTTCACTGCTCATCGGTCATGAGAAACTCACTCCTCCGCTGCCGTCGCTCACTACTCACACATGTATCAAGAGAGGCAGTGAAAAAAGACCGAGCCAAGCAGGAAGCGCATTTCGCATTCGAAATAGATTTTTCACCAGCGCACACTTTGATTTTACGCAGTACCACTTCCGATCGACGGGTTTTCCACTCCGAAATTAACACCTTCGCGGTCTAATCCGCGGATTTATCCACGTGAAACGGTCGAAATCCTGTCGCAGAACAGGAAAATTTTCCGAACTCGAGACCAAACGAAAAAATGCGCTGCTTCTGCCTCCTATCCAATAGACTGATCTCACACGAGTATGACGATTTTGCTTCTTGGCTCACCGTGTGGGTCAGTCAGCCAACCAGCAGCCAGGCAGGAGTTGAGTTTCGATTTCGTCAGCCGCACTCGGATTGCTGCCTTCTCCCTCGCGCGACGCCGTTCGAAAACCGTTTACGCGACCGAGACAACACGAGCGCGTCCGTTCGAGAGATCGAGCTTTCTGTATGAGAGAGCTTTTTTTATCGGCTACACCAAGCGGCGCTGCGAAGTGACGTGTGTGACGAAGCGCTGCGTCGCCAAAACGGAAGCGTCGCTGGTGCGCGTTACAATTGGCCGTTTTGGCGTTACGGAATGCAATGATTGATTACATCATTACCGTTCTAGGAGGAGAATCTGGAAATAAGTAGAAAGAAAACAATCAGAATCAAAATAACGTTTTTAATTAACCAGTAACCAACTATTCCATTATACAGAATCAGTGATTATTAGAGCATTGAGCAGCAACAAAGGCAAAGCGATCAACATTAACATCATCCAGGGAAACAGGGAATATAATTAATAATAGGTTTGATACATATGATACTTACTAAAAAAAACTGTTTTATCTTAATTGGATTTTTTATGGGTATTGAAGTAAATACATATTCGTTATCGCATTAAAAATGGAACCGGAATCCTAAATTTTATCAATTTTGGTACACTGGAACTATTTTAAATAAGTACGATAACATCACCAAAAATCACCATCTTTGCGTCCCTTGGTGGGACTTTGTATGGGAGTGAGCTGTCAACGAACAGATTAAGTGCCAATGATCAAAAATTTAAATCTTGACATTAAAATCGAGATGAATGTCTAAAGGGTGTCCACGATGAAATTGCCACACTATGAAATTGCTCTAACTTTTTAACCGTTGGGTAGAATTTAATGAAAATTTGGGTGGATTTAGTTCATAGTGCATTATTTACATCCTGCAAGTTTTAAAGTCCTGTGATCAAAACTCGCGGAAATGGAGTCGAAAGAGCAGCTCGTGCGTGATAAAATCTTGCGCATTCATCACGAGAACAAGGATCTCTCGCATCGTTCCATCGCTAAAACGTTGGGAATCGCGAATTCCACGGTGTCGCGAGTGATTAAGCGGTTCGAGGAACGGTTGACCACCGATCGGAAGCCCAGAAGTGAAGGAAAAAGTATTCCAAAAATCACAACCGCGTAGTTGGGGCCTTCAACCGAAATCCGAACGCCTCCGTTAGGGATGTGGCTAAGAAGCTGCACCTAAGCCGAAGTTTTGTCCAGAAGGCCAAAACTAAGGCTGGGTTTCGAACGTTCAAGGTACAAAAGACCCCTAATCGCGACGAGAAGCAGAACAAGTCCGCCAAAACCCGTGCCAGGAAGTTGTACCTCAACATGCTGACGAAAGTTGAATGCTGCATCATGGACGACGAAACATATGTGAAGGCCGACTTCAAACAGATCCCCGGCAACCTGTTTTTCACGGCCAAGGATAAGTTCAGCGTTCCGGACCATGTTCGCACTCAGAAGATGTCCAAATTTGCGAAGAAATTCCTGGTTTGGCAAGCCATCTGCACGTGCGGGAAGCGGAGTGCACCTTTCGTGACCCAGGACACGATGAACGGACAGGTATACATAAAAGAGTGCCTCCAGAAGCGGCTGCTTCCTTTCCTGAAGGCCCACAACGTCCCAACAATCTTCTGGCCGGATTCGGCCTCATGCCACTACTCCAAGGACGTGCTGAAGTGGTATGCGGACAATAAGGTCAATTTCGTGCCGAAAATGTTCAACCCTCCCAACACTCCGGAGCTCCGCCCCATCGAGAAGTACTGGGCGATTATGAAGCAGCACCTTCTTAAACGACCTAAGGTAGTGAAGACAGTCGAGGAACTGAAGAAAGTATGGGTTTACATGCAAAAAACGGTTGATTCACAGGTTGTGCAGAATCTTATGGCCGGGGTTAAGGCCAAGGTGCGGGCATTTGCGTATGGACTGTAAATAAAATACGAGTAAAATGGTAAAATGAATTTTAATAGTTATTTCTCAATCCCTGAAAATTTGATGGCAATCGGATGAAAACTCGAATTTTGCGAATCAATTTTGTGTGTGGCAATTTCATCGTGGACACCCTTTAGGATCGATAAAAATATCGTTGTGCTCAGAAAATGAAGATCTATTAGATAGATGATGTTTAAAAATCTACATATTTTTCGAAGTTTAACAACCCAATTATAATAAAATAAAAATTCAACAAATTAAGTTAAATCGTATTTAAAAGAATCCGGACGAAAAAATGCATTGTAATAAAACACATGAAACCTACCAAAAATTAACTTAAAGATCACTACAAAATCCAGTGACCATTACTCAATAATTCGCGTAATTTTTAAGAGAAGGCAAGTTGGCGAGCATGCGTGAAAATCCCTAGATTTTATCATTCATATGCCAAATAAAGGATAATATTTATTTTAAAATTGTCTCTAAAACATACAGCGCTCAGAGGCAAATACAATTCAAGAATAAGATGACTAGCAAATGCTTTAAATTAGCCTGTTTACATTTCCATATTGAATAGCCATGAACAGTCACTCCCGAGGACATTCCATCATGGATACAAAAATCGTTTCTTGGTAGAGAAAACTTCCTACAGCAGGCATCCATCGTCTATATCAGGCCTGTCCAACGTACGGCCCGTGGCTACGCTGCCCCCTTTTTGACGTAGAACTACGTCTTTGTTGACTATACTGGGGTGCAAATCAAAAAATATGTGTGGTGAAGGAGTGTTAGGTTTTGAACGCTTGTAACTTTGTCATTTATAGATGAAATTAAAATCCAAATACGCCAATCGATAGGATATTACATTACAAACCTGTTGAAATAAATATTTTTCCAATTTTTCTGTAATTAAACTTTTGAAAATGTACAAATGATAATTTTATCACTGATTTCATGAAATAAGCCTTTTTCCCAAACCCAGTCATCATAAACGAATACCACTTGGTTGCACATCATTCTGCTTGAACCTGAAAAGATATAAATCAGCGCTGCTCTCATACCACTGCTCATTACCGCTTCGGACGGCGTGGCGCTAGGTCCTGCATCAAGCAGGACTAGGTTAGCGGTTAAAGGTGGATCACGGCGTGTCCACCACAATGATGAATGATACTTGTAAAAACGTGCATGAAGAACTCCCTCCCGCTTAACAACCCCCTCCCCTCCCCCTTAACAATAACCCGAAAAAGACATGGACTATGTATGACGATCATTTTTTTCGAGAAATAAATTTTAAGCAAAACCCCAATAATGTATAAACAATTAATTTTTTACATGCAGAGCCAACATTTTCAAAAAAAAAATATTGCTTAATAGGAGACATACACTCGATGAATTACCAACAACTGACTGTAAAACATATCTGGTACCTCTATATATGCAATTATATTAACATACAAAGTCCATCCTTTATTACATATTCTGCACAAAAAAATTTTTTGCTCCGCCCCATTCATAAAAAACTGCGGGAAATCCTATCAGGTTCTGAACCTGAAAAGATATAAAACAGCGCTGCTGTCATGCTTTTGCTCATTGTCGCTTCGGACGGCGTGGCACTTGGTCCTAGTAGCAGTAAGCTGGTCTAAATCAGCGGCTTAAGGTGGATCACGACGTGACCACAATAAGGAAAAGCAATACATGTACCCCCTCCTCCCTTCATAACAATCCCTCGCCCCCCCCCCCCTCAAAAACCTCTCGCCCCTCCCTCAACAATCTCTCACCCCCCCCCACCATCAACCTCTCCTACCACCCCACCACTCATATACCACTCCTACCCCTCCCCCCCACCCCTCAAATACCTCTCCTAACCCCCACCCCTCAAATACCTCTCCTAACCCCCCCCCCCCCTCAACAATAACCCGAAAACGAGACAGACTTTGACGATCCCTATTTTCCGGGAAATAAATTTTAAACAAACCACTATCATTAGTAAAACCAAGTTTTTCCCTTAATTTCTTCCCTCACCGAAACTTTCAAATTTGAACATTGCTTGAAAGACATGTTTGATGAATTCAGTTGGTGAATTACACACAACTGACGGTAAAACATATCTGGTGCCTCTATATATGCAATTATAATAACATCCAAAGTCCATCCTATTTCACATATTTTGCACAAAAGAAACTCCTACCCCCCCACCATCAAATGTGTAAATTGTTTTGAGTCAACTATAACCGAAACATTGAAATACTTGAAAATTTTATAATAAAGTATAATAGTCAAAAATGCATGAAAAACATCAATTTTGTGTGGTTCTACGTCATACTGCGGTCGTGTCTAGGACACAACCCTTTAATTTTTTGTTGCCCGCAACGAGTTTAAAAAGACTTGCATCCGACCAGCGGGTTGTTCTATTCTCTTTCATCATTGTCAGACGAGAACTTAAAATCATGTTTGCCGATTTCGGTAACAGTTTCTGAGATCAATATGCAACGAGTGTTGGAGAGCAGTCAACAATATTAAGTTTCTTATTTAATAACGGAGAGGAAGCAAGCGCTGCTGAGAAACAGCAGCAGCCTGTTTTCAAGTGCAAAACCGATGCGTATATTACTACTACAAATTCGGGATAGTGGACTATACCGAAAACGAGCAAATGAAAGACGAAAAGGAGGCTAAGCGGTGGACACTGCTGAAGGAAAAACAATTGAAAAAAGCAAGGGAGTTGAGGGCACAGATGAAAGCGGAAGCTAAACTCAAGTCACCTTAAAAGCTCAAGAACTCATAACAATGTTCCTCTTAACTAATATTTGAGTTAACTACTTAAAAAATTCAATTATTATCGGCTCCATATGGAGTACTTTTGCACATTTGAGCCTAACAAATTGAAAAAAAAGTAGATTTTAACTGAAACTTAGCAAACGTCTAGTGACAAAACTCGAAACTCGTGATAAGCGACAAAACTCCGGAAAATCACCTCAGTTAAACAAAACAGAATTTAAGATTGAAAATTTAGATAATTTTTGAAGATCAAAATTTGAAATATTTTCAAAAGCCTCAATTATGTGCACATTATCTGAAATTTGGGGGTGAAATCCATGGAAATTTTTAAAGAAAACTTTTTAAATTCTGAAGCGCATACTAAAATATTTCTAAGGAATATTTCAAGACAATTTTAAGAAAAACTATGGAGAGAAATTAAAGCAAATTATCGCGAGAAATTATAAAGAAAACGATGATAACTGTTGACTAAATGTTTAGAGTAGTCTAGAGTTCTGGATCTGTTATAAATAAACTTTATAGAAAATACCTGAGAGAATCATAAAATTATTTAGGAGAATCCTGAAAGTAAATATCACACTAAAGATCACAAGTTCAAATCTCATCCCCGGAC